TGTGGCTGTGAGCACCGGAAGTGTGTGGCTGTGGGCACCGGAAGTGTGTGGCTGTGAGCACCGGAAGTGTGTGGCTGTGGGCACCGGAAGTGTGTGGCTGTGGACACCGGAAGTGTGTGGCTGTGGGCACCGGAAGTGTGTGGCTGTGGACACCGGAAGTGTGTGGCTGTGGGCACCGGAAGTGTGTGGCTGTGAGCACCGGAAGTGTGTGGCTGTGGGCACCGGAAGTGTGTGGCTGTGGACACCGGAAGTGTGTGGCTGTGGACACCGGAAGTGTGTGGCTGTGGGCACCGGAAGTGTGTGGCTGTGGGCACCGGAAGTGTGTAGCTGTGGGCACCGGAAGTGTGTGGCTGTGGGCACCGGAAGTGTGTGGCTGTGAGCACCGGAAGTGTGTAGCTTTTAAAGTAATAAAGTTTAAAGTAATTATTAAATCCTTTTTCTTTTCGTTTCACTTTTCAAATTCAAATAAACACAGTCAATCCGTGTACTGTATATTGCACAGTCCGAGTGGCTAGCAATTTACAACATTGATCTTTACAGCGCCTGGAGGTGGGCTTATCGCGAGGTGCTTAGTATCCAGCACCCAGTGACAGTGTGAGCGATGGTAACACTGCCCAGCGTTGCAAGGTACATGCCTTAATATGTATCTTGCTAACATAATAATTATAACTATATAAATAATTATATAAGTACCTTATAACATAATACTATGCCTTACCTGAGGCTTCCGCTGTCATTATTTCCTTCGTGGGTGATGCGCTGCTCTCTTGTTTGGTCTCAAGATACTTCAACCCGAATCATTATTGTTAATGTCCTCTAATTCCCTATGTTACCAATCTGTGCAGTAACTTATTGCAATAAAGGCTAACGAGGCCACGGTCGACCAGTGCCTCAGACACACATACACTGGTGGCCACGGTCGACCAGTGCCTCAGACACACACACACTGGCGGCCACGGTCGACCAGTGCCTCAGACACACACACACACACTGGCGGCCACAGTCGACCAGTGCCTCAGACACACACACACACACTGGCGGCCAAGGTCGACCAGTGCCTCAGACACACACACTGGCGGCCACGGTCGACCAGTGCCTCACACACACACTGGCGGCCACGGTCGACCAGAGCCCCAGACACACACACACTGGCGGCCACGGTCGACCAGTGCCCCAGACACACACACACACTGGCGGCCACGGTCGACCAGTGCCTCAGACACACACACTGGCGGCCACGGTCGACCAGTGCCTCACACACACACTGGCGGCCACGGTCGACCAGAGCCCCAGATACACACACACTGGCGGCCACGGTCGACCAGTGCCCCAGACACACACACACACTGGCGGCCACGGTCGACCAGTGCCTCAGACACACACACTAGCGGCCACGGTCGACCAGTGCCTCAGACACACACACACACTGGCGGCCACGGTCGACCAATTATTCACTAGGGTGCACAGGTTGTCTCTTGCTATCACCGTTGTTTAATTGGCATGGCCCTTGTCCTGCTGGCACTGGCACTATGACCACCACGAGCCTCAATACACCACCACTTGACTATTCAAATGCTTACAATACCGTCCAACACAAACAATCCTTTATTGTGGAAAATCATGACACTAGGATAGAAATCTACAATGACAACAATATCATGCCTACAATTACTACCTATAACACCAACGCTGAGGGTAAAATAAGCACAAATTCAGACTTTGAGCCGGAGACAAGGACTCTGGAGTGCCATCGACCAGGGAGGTGTCAGCGGATGGCTGAGACTCGGGACAGCTGGCACAAGAAAGTTTAATGACAAATGTCCGCACACTGCTCCTAGGACCCGGCCCCGGCCCCCGGCCCTATACGGGAGGGTTCCTGAAGACTACTTGTCTAGCCTGCGCTTGCTTCCTCAGCACCCATCCCTGTGCCCTTACATCAGGGGCCCCCTGAAGCCCCTGTCCATCCCTGTGTCCTTACCCCCAGGGGCCCCCTAAAGCCCCTGTCCATTCCTGTACCCTTATCCCCAGGGGCCCCCTAAAGCCCCCGTCCATCCCTCTGCCCTTACCCCAAGGGGCCCCCTAAAGCCCCTGTCCATTCCTGTACCCTTACCCCAGGGACCCTAAAGCCCCTGTCAATCCCTGTGCCCTTACCTCAGGGACCCCCTAATACCCCTGTCCATCCCGTGGGCGATGGTGGAAAGGGGTTACAGAGGCACGTAATGGGTTCAGGAACTGAACCCCAACTTATGTATTATGCAGGACATTTGTTAGATCATTAACTTTCACTACTAAGATTCACAATTTGGCTTCCTTACTAGGGTTCACAATTTGGGTTCATTGCTACGTTTCACTATTTGGGTTTATTACTAGGGTTCACTATTAAAAGTTCGATGAAGGACAAAGTAGTGGAAGCCACCTCCATCCACAATTTTCTGGCCAGATTTCACAAAGAAATCAAAAGACTGGAAAGTTAAATTATAACGCAATAGATCCGTTCAGATCTGATAAAAGACCATTTGTGCCGTCTGTATCCTTTATGCGCTACCGCTCACAGGATGAGTATGGGGTGCACAACAAACTAGCCGCCTCCAACAACGACATAATAAGAGAGGTGGTGTTGCACTGCCCGTGGCAACCTTGGATTTTTGCATGGAAAAATCGAAAAAAAAACTAATTTTCTCTAAAACATAAAATTCTTTGGGCCACTGCTTGTGTTTCAGATACACAAATACAATCACATGAACATATATATACAAAAACTTGGACACAAAGATATGTTGTACAGACAGGCGGACACACACACACACACACACGCTGAAACATTCCATTACAGACACGCGAACACAGACAAACAGACAGACACGATGCAATGCACCATCACAGACAGGCGGACACAAACGCGGCCAGAGCCAGAGATTGCTTCATAACGCACCATCACACGATATTAACATAACATATTAACCAACGCATCTTGTCTACGATGCAATTCAAAGAATATATAACACCCACAAAATTAAACCCGTTGACACAAACGTTACTAATAAACCCGTCCTCGGTGGCCATCGAACGTTAATAAAAAAAACTACTATCACCAACTGATTAAATTCATTCTTAATTCAGAAATACTGGAATAAAAATAATTATATAAAACTGAATTCAAATCATTTTAGCCAAACGAGAAACTTCATTACTCAAGCCAGCACGACAGGATAATTGACCTAAATTAATACCTCTTGTATAGATTTCAACGTTAATTGTGAATGTAATATTAAAATATTAGACAATTTCCAACTGATCAACACCGGATGAAGCATCGAGTTATTAATTAAATTTGTATATGTCGGCTCATTTGTATAATCACCTTCAGGTGATCACAATTGCCGGCCTACTAAGGTAACACAGGTGTGAACACCAGGCAACATAGGTGTCAACACCAGGCAACATAGGTGTGAACACCAGGCAACATAGGTGTGAACACCAGGCAACATAGGTGTGAACACCAGGCAACATAGGTGTGAACACCAGGCAAGACAGGTGTCAACACCAAGCAACGTAGGTGTCAACACCAGGCAACATAGGTGTCAACACCAGGCAACATAGGTGTCAACACCAGGCAACACAGGTGTAAATCAAAGGTAACATAGGTGTCAACACCAGGCAACATAGGTGTCAACACCAGGCAACACAGGTGTGAACACCAGGCAACATAGGTGTCAATACCAGGCAACACAGGTGTGAACACCAGGCAACATAGGTGTCAACACCAGGCAACACAGGTGTGAACACCAGGCAACATAGGTGTCAACACCAGGCAACACAGGTGTGAACACCAGGCAACATAGGTGTCAATACCAGGCAACACAGGTGTGAACACCAGGCAACATAGGTGTCAATACCAGGCAACACAGGTGTGAACACCAGGCAACATAGGTGTCAATACCAGGCAACACAGGTATGAACACCAGGCAACACAGGTGTAAATCAAAGGAAACAACAGTTTGAATGAAAGGCAACAACACTTTTGAGCGCAGGGTAACAACCACAACATAATCCCCCACAGACTAATACACAGATAAACTTAAGCGTGAAGGCAACAATGCCTTGCATACAGACCTTCTGGGCACACTAACAAGATACTTGAACTATATGTGCACTATCGTTCATATGGATACTATGGCCACACTAATTGGCTTAGATTAAGCCACAATAACTGGCTTCGAAAGCCGCTGAAGCCACAGTGGCTTACGAAAGCCGCTGAAGCTTGTCTAACCAATTAGCCAGAGTCGTTCCTTACAATTAGTGTAACTAGCCTAATAAATAAACTAATGCTGTGAACAATGGAACGTGTGTCGCTAATCCGAGTATTAACCCCATTGTTGGTATTTTGCGCTGTTATTTGACTGGCATGTTGAGGGTGGCGATGCTACAATAACTCGTTTATAATCAGTCTGGTCCCCAATTATTGATGGAGATTCTTCAAACTCCCTTCAGACACTACGTCCAGACTAAACTGTAAACTAATGTCTTCATAGCATTGTACGAACCACCGTCCATGCCCTACCGTCCACGACCCACCGTCCATGCCCTACCCTCTACGTCCCACCGTCCACGACCCACCGTCCCCTGACACTGGCTAGACAAACACTTTATGGAGTGTTGTGAAGGCGATACCTTCTTTTGTGACTGGGGGAAGGGGGGAAGGTTAACAGAAGTACTAGAAAGGCATATACCTTTGTTTATGGAGCCTAGCACGATCTACATATTTACAGCCCGTTCTCCCAAAGTTCCCCAACGTCAAGAAACTGTCGTACTGAAGTGCCCTTATCCTACCCTAGCAGACGACCCAACACAGAAAACGGGACAGTATGTCAAGTTCGCGACCCGGTACCATTTTCTAGTACGACGATTTTTGGCGCGAGGTAAACTACGCGTCAAAATGCGCCCCTCTATTAGGAGGCCGGGTTGATATATAAAGGTCTATGACGGTGCAGTAAACTTACCTTCTACCCTGGCGACCACGGGCGCTTGAGGGAGACACACCAGCGTCATCACCAGCAGCGCCATCATCACCAGTGCCATCATCTTGCGCATCATCAAGAGGAGCACCTCACCACCACAACCTCTGCTCACTCTCCTCATCGTAGAGCCAGGAGGGTGAGCCTCGACCTCTCTTCCCGGGTCTCTAGCTGGTGCAGTTCTGGTCTTGTTGGTACGTGTAGGTCTGTCTATCTCCACTTGAAGATGGGAAAGCGCACTTGAAGATGGGAAAGCGATCTCTAGTTAAGTGGACGTCGAACGATGTTGCTCTGAATCCCTTTCTTTCCAAGGTCAACCACTTACGCGCAATAATACTCTTCGTTAATCCGACACTTCAGTTAATGTTTTACAAAAGCAAAGCTTTTTCCACAAAACTTTATTTTCAATAAACTAGATGTATCCGATGAGAAACTTCTTCCCTTCAAATGTCCAATACTTTCCACAGACCACTCGCTTAAAGGTGATATTTATTTCCCTGAAGTTCTTCCAGAGATTCATGACAACCAAACAACAAATATATATATAATATACAGTATATATATATACACCACACAAACACACCCACATATAATATATATATAGAGAGAGATTAGTATATATAAAGCCTATATAAACTTCTCAACACGTATGTCCACAAATGAAAATTAACTTATCTTCTTGGTAGTCTAAGATCTTCTCTTATTGGTAACAATGTCTAAGACTTCTTTTCTAAGAGCTACAGACATTTACGTCAATAAATACCCGGTTTTTCAACCGGTGTCGATGAACACGCTCCACAAGGAATACCTCCCCTCACAACCTGCTCCCTCGCCTTTACTCTGCCTCTTTCCACCTATCAAATACAAAGATAAACGGCAGTTTTAAATCGAGATCACTGCGATAAGGTCCCCCACTTTCGAAAGAATAGCTGTAATTTTTAAAAGTTAGCTTGTAAAAATAAAGATCTAATTTCTTGAAAACTTGCAGGCGACCGTTCCTTCTGGATCCCCAAAGCTTTCCAGGACTCAACGACCAGAGTCCAGATTCCAGACTTATTGCACCCGTGGAGAGAGGAGATGGCTGGGGGTGTCTCCTGGAGCATCGCTCGATGAATTGAAGAGGTCCTTGTACGTGTCTGAGTAAGGATCATACAACTGGCTTAGAATGGTGTATATAGATGGTTCTGTCAGGTTTATACAATTGACTTGGTGGCGAAGCTGGATGGGAGAGGTTCATTACATATGGCTGATGGAGGTTTACATATTACTCATGGAGATTCATATATGACTGGGGCACATTTATACAGCCAGTGAGTGATGATTTTTACAATGTTTAGTAAAAGATCTTAAATGTGGCACGAATGATTATTTCCTTACATTCAACACATTTTATCTTCGTTATCAAATTATTTATTGGAAATGAGGTTACAGTAGCTGACTAAATCTACGCAAGAGTCTTGAAGGCTAATGAGTGGGATTACTGGCGCTGCTGCAGCAACACCCTAGCAGTCAAGTCTGCCTGCCACTAGCCAGCGTAGCCTCGCCAACAATTACCTTAAGTCCACGCTCGCAGATTTCCGTACTTTGGTTCGCTTAACGTATATTTGTTCATGAGCTAATTGCCGCTGGAGGACATTCTATAATGAGCTGGCAGTTCCAGGTAATTAAGGAAGGTCGCCGCCATTTCTTATTTAAATTCTCCAGGTTTCTCTGGCAGACGTTAGCACCTTTCTTGTGAGGTGCGACTCTCTCCCATTTCTCGGAGAGCACAACGTGAAGGTTCACTTTCTCGCTCGTCGATTCACTCACGTGTCTTGTTCACATCTCTTAACTGAATCATACACAACGGTTGGCCTCCCGTAACGGCACTAATAAATCCTGCAAAAGGGATTTAACTTTCATAATTAGGCTTTCATAAGAGCATAATACCACAAAATTCCAAAATTTCAATATTTTTGTTAAAGAAATTCCCTGACAAAGTCTGGAAAGTTTAATGATAAGATCCTTGTGGCATATGTAATCTACTGGCCACCAGGTGTTTAATGATGTATTCCACTGGCCACCAGGTGTTTAATGATGTATTTCACTGACCACCAGGTGTTTTATGACGTATTCCACTGACCACCAGGTGTTTTATGATGTATTCCACTGACCACCAGGTGTTTTTATGATGTATTCCACTGACCACCAGGTGTTTAATGATGTATTCCACTGGCCACAAGGTGTTTTATGATGTATTCCACTGACCACCAGGTGTTTTATGATGTATTCCACTGACCACCAGGTGTTTTATGATGTATTCCACTGACCACCAGGTGTTTTATGATGTATTCCACTGACCACCAAGTATTAAAGGTGTGAAGTTACAGCACACTCTTATAACTTACACTTTACGGACAATGGATTTAAAATCGGATAAAAAAAATTAAAGCTACGATCATACTTTCACGATTACGCAAAGTTATCCATAAAGATGGTGCGTTATCCAGCGGGCAGTTACTGGTAATGAGAAGCTCGTCAAGACTTCACGAAGAGAGGGTTAGCGTGCTTGCTAACCTGTGAAGCATTATCACCAGCTAACCTTTTATTCTATAAGGTCAATTTTAGACATAAAACTATTGCTAGATTTTTTTCTCACTAAAATACTAATCCAGTACAAAAATCTATTAAATACACAATTACTACTTTTCAAAGTGAATATACAATTTCTGTGTATAATGCCAGAAATCCGTTTTTCAAAACACAATTTTATTTTAAATTATCCGTAATTAAATTATTCGCACATCAGTCGTCTTCACCCCATGTCTACAGCACTCGCAAATTTCCATACATGTAAGTTGTTCAGTGGGTGAGGGGAGAGATGTCTGGCAGCGGCCAGTGAGGGGAGTCACCACGGAGTGCCGACACGGAGCGTGCGTCACGGGCGGCGGCTCATAGCCAACTGAGCGGCTGGCAAGTTATGAAGCTGGGAGAGAGGAACCTCGTTGGTTGAACCCGTCCTCTCGCCTAATACGCAGCACTTTTTTTTTACTGAATCGACCAATGCGTTAAAAATGTGATGTGTTAGTAGCATTTATAGCGCCGCAATGTTCACGTTATCTGTGAATCGGCCGTCGATATGTTAGGTGGGTTGCTCGTATGTTTTTGATAAGGCAACTCCACAGCATTTTTTTTACAGGGTAGCAAATAAAGAACTGGCAACGTTACCAGCAGGTGTGGTCGTAGGCCTATTGGCTCTCCTGCGCTTATTAGGCCCCATCATCATCAGGCCTATATTATTATGCAGGCAGTGGCTCATGGAGATACCGAACATTAGTGATACACAATTACTGATGTTGTATTATGTACCTAGGAACAAGTGGTGATAAACTAGGCTGCCATGCACGGCCATCGACTCTTATCATGTCATTATGAGTAACAGGGCGGTGGGGGGGGGGGGAGTGAGGACCACTTGGAGATAATTACCTTAAACGGTATAGAGCGACTCGTGCGAGGAGGCCGCTGTTTGTCGACCCTCACTACTACCACCACCAGCCACCCCTCGTGTATACCCCCCCCCCTCATCTGTCACCACCACCAGCCACCCCACGTGTATATCCCCCTGATCTGTCCCCATCACCAGCAACCCCTCTTGTTTACCCCCCCTCATCTGTCGCCACCCCTCATGTATATCCCCCCCTCACCTATCACCACCACCAGAAACCCCTCCTGTATACCCCCTCATCTGTCACCACCACCAGCCACCCCACCTGTATACCCCCCCCCTCACCTGTCACCACCATCAGCAACCCCTCGTATATTCCCCCCCCCCTCACCTGTCACCACCACCAGCAACCCCTCCTGTCCACCCATCTTCCTGAAATGACAGTACATCTTGTAACTATGTGGTTGATCGTACCACTATGTATTGATGAAGCCACTTTTTTATTACTTTTCATCGAGTGCGGAAAAATAAAGCTAAAAACCAAACTTAAATATTCCTAGGCCTGGTATAGCACCTATATGTATGTACTATATTAGGCCTCAGCGTGCATTATGCCGAGGATGGTTTGGTTAGCTTTTATTAGCAACAAATATCAAACCTTTTCCAGTTTGTCCAAATTCAATAATACAAAAGTCTACTGTCTGGTGGCCCATCACAACATATTTGTACTTCCGACCGCATAGTTACTATAATTACTTTTATGTTAGGAGTACGGGCTGTCGTGTGCCACCCACAAATGTCGTCACTACTACTCACCATCATCAAAATCCTCCCCCCTCCCCCCCCCCCCCCCCACCCTGTCAAACTCACTACTTGCTCTCTTAATTTCCGGGATTGACAACGCTTCCACTACGAGTACCGTATTTACCAAAGGCGTTCCTGTTATTCTTCCTAAATAGTCACAAAAGTACAATAACAACAAAATTCATTTGAAAACTCTGCTCCCTCACTCACCCCACAAAAAACAATTCACAGATATGTTTCAGAAATATATTTAAAGTTAGTGTGAACAGCTATATAACGTTTATAATAACGGAGAGGCGGTGAAAAAAGATTTGGCTGGAGAACTCTCCTTTAAAAGCCTAGCAGGGAGGGCGGAGGAGAAAGCCGGAGCCTTAACACAATAAGCTCTTCTCTAACAATTACTTGTAGTGAAATTAGTGCCAACTGTAAGAAGAGATTACGGCACTCTCGCTCCAACCCTGCGCAGCCTCGCCGTAATGGTACAAAAACCTGAGAATGCTTTTATCCAGTAACTCTTTTGTTTGCAAAGTATGCAAGTTGCAGTGATTCGTACATGCATTCCAAATGATGATGAATAGCTCAGCGACTCTAAATGGTTTTTACCTTTAATCTGTTCGTGCATAGAAACAATTGCCTAATGAAATATATATTATAACTGGAACTTGCATATTTAATTTTAAAATTTTATTTATTAAATACTACATTATTACCCATTGTGATTTTCAGTTACATAAATTCGGACACTTGCGCCCAACGCAAATTCAGCCACTCAGAAACGTTTTGGTGATAATTATGTTATATCAAATATACTGTATTCATACCTACCAAAAAAAAGTAAAGAATACAGTACCCTTTGTATGACCTGGACCAAAAACGAAGTGGGCACAATATCCAAGAGTGTCGTTGCTCGACTTTTCATCAACGTTGAATCAATATTAATGACATTGATTAGGCGTTAAATTGGGTATTGTGCCCAGTGTGACCGAGCACACTTTTTAACAACTCGCGACTAAAGAATTATCTGAGTCAAGCAAAGAATTATCTGTGTCAAGCGAGAAATCTTTATCTCACTCCTTGATTCAACCTTAAATAAGACTGATTTAACCTCTGAAAGACTATGAACCATATTTTGACTCAAGTGTCATATATCATCTTCTACGAGTTCAATAAAAATATTTTGGTACTAACCAGAGGTCTTTTTGCCTTTGAATTTCTCGACTTGAGGTAGTTTTTAGTAGCCATGACAGGTGACCTTGCTGCACACAATTGTATAATACCCGGAGAACTGTGTATAAATGGGAATAATTTTGAACGACGCCATACATTAAATGCTCTAACTGCGACCGCACCTCTTCCCTCTCTGCCTGTATGTGTATTCACCTAGTAGTGGTTCCAGAGGTTGAACTTGGCTCTTTCGGCCCGCCTCTCAACTGTCACTATCTACTAACTCATTTTTTTTCACACACACAGGATCCGTAACAGCTGTCTAACTCCCAGGTACCTATTTACTACTAGGTAAGAGGCATTCAGGGCGAAAGAAACTTTGCCCATTTGTTTCTGACTGGTCCGGGAATCGAACCCGGGCCACAGAATTACAAGTCCTGCGCGCTGTCCACTCAGCTACCAGACCCCCCCTGTGTGTACGTGTGTGTGTGTGTGTGTATGTGTGTGTATGTGTGTGTGTGTGTGTGTGTGTGTGTGTGTGTATGTGTGTGTGTGTGTCTGTCTGTGGAGACTGGGTTTTGGTGAATAATTGCAGTAATTACTAAAGAGCCTTCGTTGAATATTTAAGGAAGTTTAATTTTTCTTTAAGTTCGTGCTTATTTATATAGGGGAAAGTGACTCAGAAAGATAAGGGTTGGGATGAGGTCACGGTCAGAGTAAGGTCAGGGAGATGAAGGTCGGGATTAAGCCAGGGAGGTGGAGAGATCGGGTTGAGGTAAGGGAGGTGAAGGATTACTGTACTCCCCACCCAATCCTTCCCGTTAATCAAGTAGGGTTGTAATGCAAAATTTTCCTTACATCCATGATGTAAGGGTTTGGGTTAAAATGCCAGCAGATTTGATACCCATCTCAAATAATGCAGAATTTTTCAGCCCATATTCCTAAAATGATAGTACTTATAGCAACTATTTGGTCGAGCCTACAAAAACGTAGTTGCGCCCCTAACATGTTCACGTCTTGTGTTCCTGAATTAGCCCCCTATAGCATTCTAAAAAAAAATAAATGTATCTAAAGAACCTAATGTAACCTGGTCAAGCAATCCTAGGCCTACTATATGCTATCTTAGGCCTAATATAGTATATATGAGTAATACTAGGCCTAGTAATGTTTAAGTTTTCGTGCATTCAACATAATTAATAAAACAAAATAATAGTTGCGCTAGGATAGGACAGTTTGAAAATGTCAGTTTGATTTATTATTTGGATAGTTTGATTTTGTCATTTGGAAACTTAGCATTAACATAGAATGGTGTGGAACTCTCTATGGTAACCTTAAGCAAACTCAAAAGGAGTATATACACCTCACAAATGCAAAATTACTCTAAATGTGTAAGGAATAAATGAAATTACTTGAAATACGAAAAAAATCTAACTTGGGATTTTTGGCTGGCTGGAGCGCGGCTGCCTGTCCCTACTCCCCAGGACGGCTGGTCAACCTCTGACCGGTGGCAATCCCAACCAACCCTTCACAAACTCCATGAACATTTTCATGTATCTCAACTATTCGCTCATGAAACTCAATACTCATTGCACCAATGAATTCAGCAGATTTAAATATATCTCTACTCCAATGTGCAAAGTTATATTTGCAAATACTAAACTAACTACTGTTTATTTTAAAACACTTTGCCGAGAGTAGCCTAGTAATTAGGTTTTTTTGGAGCACCTTACATGGCCACTTTCTAACAGTGGAGATAACTAAACAGTTATGTAAAATTCAATAAAGTTGCCAGATTCAATCTATGATAAATCTGCCCGTTACCAAGTGCTAAACTAACCAGAAATGTACGAACCCAAACCACCACCTAACCTAACCTATCTATGCATAGAAGACGTGAACATCTGTGAGCCGCTAGTTTTCATATTACTTTGGTATTTGTACGTTGGGGACGTGAACACTAATCATCAACACCAACGTGAACACTAATCAACACCAACGTGAACACTAATCATCAACACCAACGTGAACACTAATCAACACCAACGTGAACACTAATCATCAACACCAATGTGAACACTAATCAACACCAACCATACGGTCATCAACATCAACGTGAACGCCAGTCATCAACGCCACCCTCACCAATATGAATACCCGTCAACGCGGTCCACTGCCGTAGGTGCCAGAGGGTGAGGGAGGGATATAAATATTATCTAGCATGAGGGGTGTACAGGAGCCCTCATCAAGTAAATAAGTAATGAGAAGTGGTGACGTCAGCCAGCGTTACCAGGCTGCATGCCGTAGACCCAGCCGCCTACGGCGAGGTGCCACACAACCACCCATTTACAGTGAGGTACTATAAGACCAGCAATCTACAGTGAGGTGCTATAAAACCAGCTCCCCATGGCAAGATGCCATATAGTAGCACCAAAGTAAGAGGCGCCTCATATATTGTCATTGACGACGGGTAAACACCCGCTATCGACAGCTTTTAATTATTCGTCGGGACCATTGGGGAGTTATTTACGATCTC